CTCACATCCCAACATTCCCAAAAACTATTAGTGAAAAAAAGGAGATTAGTTCATTACTTCCCTGATGTGGCCACACAGGTGTTGGTACTGCTGGGAGCAGAATGTGCAAAGATGAGGCCCTGGGAGCAGGCAGGTTTTCACCTTTTAATATTATTGAAGTTACCGTGGAATTACTGCTCTAGAGAAAATGACAGTGTGAGTATGAACAGTAACAGGAGAAACCTGTTTGCAGAATAGTCCTGGAGCTCCATACTAGAATCTTTGTTACATATATTACCTTAGCTCAATAAACATAAAAATGGGCTGATCCCAATCATTACATCATCAATAAAAGAACAACTGACACTGCCAAAATGCAAAATTTTTGCACTACGTTTCCAAATTTCTACTGAACTAAGCACCATGCTACTGATTCTGGACAATCCTGAAGAGGAAGCACAGCCTTTCTTTAGTCTTACAGGTCAGTGCAAAGTGTGGACACACATGGCAGAGGAGGCTCTGATGCATTTCAAAACAGTACTGGAGCACAGAAGCTTTACTGGCTTTATTTCACTGAAACAAACCAACAACCAGTAAATTAAACTGTGGCAAAATTTAAAAAGAGAGGGCTGTTCCTGGACTACAACTCCTTAAGACCTACATCCTCCAGTTCCAAAAGTTTATTTTAGCCATGTAAAATTAATTTACCACCATCAAAATTACAGTGCAGCAAGAAGTACTAAATTCTCACAAGAAGATGAATTTAAAAAAAAAAATTAATCTACTACAGATGGGATTGTTTCAATATTTGGCACTTTCAATGCAGATGAAGGAGAATACCAGGTCCTTGGTAAACAGGAGAGAAAATAATGAAATATTATTATACTACACATAGATAGATATACATGGAGAAAAGAACCCCAAAAAGCCATGGATGAGGTTTTCACCAATATTAATGAACCATCCAGAAAAGGAATAGTGAGTATCACTCATCTGGCTTCCATGAAGGCAGGTTTGATTTACAGAACGAGTCAATGAGATGGTGGAAAACTATTAAAGTACATTAAAGACTGACTTAGGGTCAGGAACAGCAGCATAAGATCAAGTTTTTAATTTATCCAGTGATCTGAACTGAACTATATAGTCTGACATAAAATTATTCTGTCAAAAGAAGAATCTTATAAAACAGAAGATGAAAATGTCCTTTTTTAAAGTGACTGTTTGAAATAAAAATTTTAATTTCTTCTCCCTACCTTCTGCTAGATTAAAAGAGGGCACATTCTTATAGGGAGCAGCTGAAATTATTGAATTGGTTTGGATATGACTTTGTATTAGATATTACTTTGATACTATGGTAATTTTTGAGCAAAGTGTGTTTGGTTTATGTAGATAGCAAAACTACCTTATTTCCATTTTTGAGTAAAAATAAAGTTATTTTGGACAGTAAGACTAATACAGAAAAGTGCAATATAATATAGTTATTAACATAGAAAATACCTTAAAAAGTGAGAGAAGCAATTTCCCAAATCTAATCAGTAAATTTGAACTATATACACCCTAGGAAACTTTGTCTCCTCAGAGTATTAGGAATTCACCATAGATTATCTGGGAGATACCATGACTTCTGTGGGTCTGATGAGTCCCTTTCTGACAGCTGTTGGAGAGTTCATTGTTATTTCCTTGGATACCTGAAATACAATCAATTCTCCTGCCTGTGACACTGCTGCTGATTAGGAATACCCCACCCTTTTTTCAGGTCAAGTATCATTATTTATTTAGGATTTCTTTTCCTCTCCACTAAATGCCCTGATCTGTGCATTGTGTTCAAACATCTTTTAATATTCTTTCCTAATCATTTCATGCTCCTTGGGGGACCTTATCTACTCAATGCCCTACAAAGAAAGCTCTGCCACTTAAATACACGAATTTGCAATTTTCTTATAAACTGACAATAAAGTGAAGTGGTTTGCGCTGAGGGGGCCACTAAGCTTAAGTCTCAAGGACTGAACTTTGGACCCAATGTACTTAAAAATCCTCTTTAATAGTTTCAACACACACACATACAAAAACCCTCAAACAAACCAGAACTGCATTAATGAAAGCAATAGCCATATGCAGAAATTTCAGAGTACTGAAGAAATAATCTCGAGAGCTAGAATAACAAGTGAAACAATTCAAATTACAAGGTCAGATGCCTAAGAGTGTAGGAACAAGAATTTCTGCTGCATGCTGAAATCATCAGCTGAAATTATAAAGGAAAAGAAAAACACATTACTATTTGACCAGCAAGAGAGACACCAGCATGTTCTAGTTACAAAGGCTGTGGTTAATCAGGAGAGGCATTTCCAATATGCACTCAGAAGATTGCAGGCTGCTGAAAAAGTCAGGGGTAAAACCTCCTGTGAAAGAGCACATACAGCTCTGACTACTTGTATTTGCAGAAATTAATGCCCCTAAACAGAGGCAGAAATGGGATAGGAAATGGAAACACTATCATGCTAAAAGAGACTAAAAAGATACTGGCTGGCTCACTCTCCCAAAATCAAGGCAGGATTAGAGGAATATAATATGGCACATCAGATGGTGAACATTACAAGGAAGAATTATCAAAGTTGAAGGACAGCACTGGTGCAATAACAAAAGTAGAACTTGCTGTGAACAAATTCAAGCTGGAAAGAGAGTGGTCCCAATTCTTCAAAGGGATGAGCTTCTGAAACAGCATCCTCATAAAAATAATAAAGATGATGGGTTTTAAGATGGAGCTTAGTAATGAATAAGATTGCATAATGTTACCTAGTACAGAAAAGAATTGAATTTGACACATGAAATATCCTATGTTCCCGTCACTTTTCCCAATTCCTCTGCAGCTAGGGTGCCAAAAAGTCTGCAGACAGAAAGCTGGCATGAGTCTGGGGATGCAGCCACACATTTTGGTGCTCACTTGAGAAGAGGCGCACATGGGGTTCCACCAGGGCACTGGACTGGGAATTTCCCATCATTTTCTTATGCTGCGCTTTTCTAGTACTTACTGTTCTGTTTCAGGGATGGAGTAACCCCAAAACAAATCTCAAGTGAAAGCATTTTTATGTAGGAGACCACATACACACTTCCACAATATTTTCTGTAACACTTTCTGTAGGTCTTTCACAATGTTTTTTTTTTCTGTTCTTTAATGCTGCTCTTTGAAGGGATAAAATGTTTTCAGAGCTATCCATTGTATTACATAGACTATTTCTTCTTGCAAGGCTGAAATGAACAGGAATTTTACCTGTGGGTATTCTGCTGCTCTTTTACATGAATATAGCATTTGTTATCAATAACAAATTTAAAATCACACTTTTGGTGCTAACTGTGAAGTTGCACTTCAGGCCCAATAATCTGTTGTGAAGCTGAGAAAAAACAACATATTTGGAATTATAAGAGTTGTTCCAAAAATAAAAACATAGCAGAAACTGGCATTTTAAAATTTTCAGCACACTTGCTACTATTACATATCAGAGTCTTATAACCACAGAGCAATATGTATTATAATACACAGACCTATCAAGGCTCCACGAAACAGATTATGGAGCAGCACAAACATATAAAAAGCCAGTTCCTCAGAAGTCAATTTAACACTCTGGGATGACCTAACCAACAAGACACTTTACATCTTTTAAGCAGAAGATCAAATATGTCACCAAAATCCACCCATGCTTCTAGTGGCCTCACTGAAAGTGAAGTCTTAGAGAGAATTAAAATTCTTCTGCATTTATCTTGGTATGATGTAAGAGCCTTGCTGCTAGAGGCCATGTCCTCTGAGGTATTGAGCCCTGCCTGAGGAGTCTGTGAATTCTCATCTTTCATCTGGGCATATGAATATTCCATGTTATACCAAGGTCAAAAGCCAGGGTTGAAAGTGCTAACCTGGTTTACATTTTAATACGTTAAAGCACCACACCTGATCTGGTTGTCCTGACTCAGAGGTACAGAATCCACTGCTTCCTTGCACAAGCGTGTCTGTGCACAGCCTAGAGACCCTTGTCCTTATCCTACAATTTTTTCCTTCTTGCTATGCATATTTACCCTTATACAGCATCTAGCTCTCACCCTCATCTGCCACTTCACAAGCTGTCAAATGACTATTCAAGCATTAAAAAAAATGAAGGGTCTGTTAAGTTGTAAATTAAATGACAGTCTATAGCCGAAAATTAGCAGTAACGTGCCCAAAAGTTTATTGATTGCTAAGAAAAGGTGAATAACCCCCCCTATAGCTGACTCTGTAATTACTGACCTTTAGAACCCCAGAGCTATTAATTTAAGAACAGATAGCAGTGAACTAGCAAACGAGTTATTTTGTGGCAGGACAGCGAAGGCACATATCAAGTTTTTGCATGTGTTCAGTGCGACCTTGAATAGTATTATTACATGCCCATATTTTCCATTTTCATGCAGAATATAACCCAAGCTATATCTGGACATAAGATGCCTGTCAGCTAGTTCAGAAAATGAGTGGGAAGGCACCCACAGACACTGTGGCCTTTCAGTGCATTTGAAGAACTCCACATCCTTCCAGAAAGGTTCTAAATTACTGTTAAAGACAGGAAAATTGTATTGCCAAGCTCGGCCACCCCGGTACATGTCCTGCAAACATTTTGTCTGCACTCCAGAAATGGAGATAGAAATGGCCAGGAACAGGAAAATAGCAGGCAGTAATTCAGCATCAGTACAGTGGCAGACACACACACACACACAAAAATCCCCCTCACTTCTCTTGATATTGCTAAATTTAATCTGCTGTAGACTATTGCACAATTCATAGAAACAGCAGCCTAAAGACTATTAACACAAATGCTCCAACAATATTTATCTTCTCTCTTATTCTTCTAAATAATAAGCACTTACTATAATGGAGAAATAGCTGCCTTTTGACAAAGCAAACCATATTTTAAAAGCATTGGTCAGGTGGTAGAGTTGACAGTAAGAAAATTTTAGAAATTTAAATTGTTAACTGGAAGTAATGAAAGAAAAAGATATCTGACCTGGTGCAGACGTCCTTCCATGAAGAGTAGTTTCATTGGGCAGGAGATCTTTTGAGTTGGAAGTGAATGGTGATTGTCTAAATGTGTCTTCAGAAAAGAAAGGGCTACAGGAAAAAACGAGATGCCTTTTTAAAAAGAAAACAGCAGTTAACAGAAGAAGTAGCAAATATGAATTTTGACCTCAACATCTTAATATTGTAAGAAATACCATCTCGTTAAAAAACTGTTTCACTTACAGAATTCATGCTGAAAAATAGGCAGACCACAAGGCAGCATGCTTTGGTAAAACTGCATTTCAGAGTGAAAAACTGAAGATCACACAAAAGGCTTATAGCTACATTTCAACATCTCACATTTGCTATATCACAATACAATACAGATCATTTAAATTAACACTTCAAGAATTTGCATTCCATTGTCATATCTGGAGAGGGCAATCAGGAAAGGAAAAAAATATTATTTAATAATCTGAAGCATACAGTAGTTATCTTTAAAACAGAACTTTTCAAATATTAGGTTAAGATGCTGAATAGTTCTATTCTGACATGGCCTTCCATGAATGAAACTGCCTCCATGAATTTCATTTTTTAAAGCAAGAAGCAATTCCTAAACTGAATGGGTGCATCCCAAAGAGTATAAAGCACAAAAATTACCAGCTACACGATTCCAAAAACAATATTCTGCTTTAGTTTTAATTAACAGGCAGAAAAAAAAGTTAATTTCAACAATGAAATGGCATCTTTGTCAAAGTATTTGTTTTCTGCTCAATTAAAGATCATAACAGAAACAATAATTCCTTGTCTGCAGTACCGACAGACATCAGCAAGAGGTAAATAAAAAGATTCAGAATGGAAAACTACAATCTTTCTTGGAAAAATGCTTTCTAAGAGAATGTATTCCACCTGCATGCAAACTATCAGTTTCTTCTAAGCAAAGTGAGAATCACTTTAAATCTGATCTCTCCCAGACTGAGAATCCTTTACAGTCTGGTGTGTAGTGGGTGTTTCAAAGGTGCAGGAAAGGAGGCCAGACCATTTCTGCAGCCTTTTCTTACCCAGGAATAAAATCCAAGAATCTTTTCAGGATAAAGGACCTTCTATGAGGTCTTACAAGGTGTTGCACAGTGGGTAGTCCAGACTCAAAGTACGTGCCAGCTGCACCAAGCTGACCTCACCAGTCCAGATACCCAAAGTTTTTGTCCAAAAGGCATCACTTGCCTGTGTTTTCCCTCATGCACTTTTTCTGCAGAGAGTGAACAAGGTGTCTCCACCAAGTCACTTGTATTCTTAGATCTCTTCTGCCTCAGGGAAACTTGTTGATAGCTAGTTGACTTGATTGTGAAACACTTTTGGCAACCACGTTGTTTTACTTTCCTATTAAGTTTTTTGGACATTATTTATTTTGTGCTGTTCCATATGTGACAGTTAATGGGATATTTTGGTATTTCTGCAAAAGTTTGAACACATCCATAAGCAGTCAACATTAGGCTGTGCTGAAGTGGAAGGCATGAAGTTGCCCCAAACCTGAACAGTTTGGTAAATGCCAATAGCTGAACAATGCAGGATACTCCAAAAAACAAGTGACCAGGAGAAACCAAAACAGCTCCAACACACATGTGCAAAACTTAACTTCTTCCAAGACTCACACTCCCACTCAGGGGTGACATAATACCAAACAGACTGACACTGTATAAAAATACACCATGATTTATTGCAACATTCCTCTCACTGGTTTAATAACGATTTGAAAGAAAAACAGCAATAAAACATGTTTTATTATTATTGTAACTCTTCAAAATCTTGTAATCCGCTCAGGTTTCCATGTTAGCCTTGCTGCTTATGCCTTAGATTCACTTTCTGGGACACTGCTCACTGCTGGCTCTAAGCAAAATAGATGGTGCAGGGCTTATCTCTTTCAGGTTAGGCCACAGATGTGAGCAGGTGCTGTTGAAGGCCACATCGTGTCATATCCCAAGGATTTCCCTCTCCTCCATTGGCCTCTGGTGAATTACAGAACCATCCTTGGATAGCTCTTTTCTGCCTTCCTCTAGAATGGCAGCTGAGTCTCTTCAGTAGTGGCCCTATTACACTTCTATTTCAGCAGATATGTCCTCCAACTCCCAGTGCAAAGTATGGAGGGAGGAGCTCCTGCTTCATAGCAAGAAATTACACACATTGTCCTCAATCACTGGGCAAAGTCCTTTCTGACGAAGGTTAAGCTTTAGGGTATTTTTTTTTCCCCTCTGGCTGCACTTTTCCAGTTTCATGGCTACACAGTTCTCTAGATGAAAGAAACTCATCTTGGCATCTTACGCTGGCGTACTCACTTCCAGATCACTCGCTTCTCCACTTTGTGTCTTCTCATCACAGATGGCAGGCTCTACCATCTCACTCAGCCACTGAACTATGAGGAATCCTTGCCAATTCTGGCTGCTTAAGCAAAGTCATATGGAAGTATATGCTGGCAAAGTCGAGGAATACTCACAGGAGGAACAGCAACAGATAGGTGACAGTTAGAAATGTTAATAAGGAATAAGAGAGCAAAAAGTGCCTGTGTACCCCATCTTGCTGGGGTTTGCTGATTTAAGCCTCACCAGTGACACAGCTAAATCTCTGTGCTTCCCAGCTACTCACAGGTGGACAATACTGACCTCACCTTGGCTCTCTGCAGCTGTCAGCACATTTCACACAGGAATTGTGATCCAAATGCCTTTCTGTCATTACTCCAGATGTGGGTTAGTGAGCCAAACTGCAACACCACATGTTTTCTTAATGCAGTCCAACTGCCTCTATCCTCCACTGGCTGCTCCATCATATTCTATTTTTGAGAAGGCGTCATATACCAGTAAAGACTTCCAGCTGTTTATTTGGTTTGGGGGGGATTGGTTTGGTTTTTTTTTTTTTGGCAAGGTATTTCAAGTCAATCTGTTTGAACTTGCAGAATTTAGTAGACTGACTCACTTCCCCTCTTAAGAAGCTCTCCTTATGCATGTCTTCTGCTGATAAATAGGCAAGATAAGAAAAGCACCCGGAGAAACTGAACCAGGCACTCAGCATTTCATGCCCTGACGGGTAGCAGTCACTCTAAGGACATCTCAGTAAAGCTCAACACAAGTTTGACAACAGCCAACTGTGCTACCCTCTTAAAAGTTGGCAGCTAGAAGAAGGGCAAGTTATCTTTGAACTGTCCTCAACCTTTCCAATTGGAATTATCTTTGATAGATCCAAAAGTAGCTCTGGATTCTCACACCAGTCCTGCTGGTAACATCATGAGACACTGAAATCTATTTTCAACTATTTGTCAGCCCATCCCCACAGCACATCCTGGATGGTTAATGAGTAGTTGGACAATATGTGCATTTCTCTTTGTTTGTATCTCAGGTTTATGCTTTTTAAGTGGCACAGAAAGGCTGTGCAGGCTGCATATCCAACAAATTCCCACACTAGCAAATATGGGAAGCATTCATTGTAACCAGAAGCCAAAAGCTCAATTGAATTATCTTTCAACTTGTAACATCAAAAAGTCCCTAATGTACATTTACTGAGCTGGTCAGTTTATTAAAAACAAGTTATTTATTGCAGCTAAAATGAATGAATTGGATATAGGCCTAGAAATTTAAGTACAATGTATTTCAGAGATCTTTTCTTTGCAGCTGAAATGCTTTTCTATTCTGTCTGGGTAAGGTTGTTATAAGTTGGCACTGAGAACTTCTGTAAAGGGGTTGCAGAGGTAAGAAGCTCTTAACTCTTTGAATGAATTCTTCATCACTTCAGTGTGCTCAGTCTCCAACCCATCCACAACAATTAGGGAACTTTCAGGTAGGAAATAAATATATCCTTGCCAATTCCTGCCTACTCCTCCCACCCTACTAAGGGCTCCTAAGTCTTTACCAATTCCAGCTACCACTTATTGCATAAGAGCTTTAAATCTTCCCATAGAGACACCTCACCTTGCTGCTTGTGGATATGGAAACACCTTTTGGGCTTGTTCCCAGACACGGTCCTGTAAAGTGCACATTTCTTTAACAGCACAGGCCACAATAGGATCATGTTTTTAAGTCCTGATTAATTTATTGTAATAATGTAACTGTAATCTTTAACACATGTTTTGTTAGCGTTGTCTTACAGTCTGACTTTTAAAAATTCATCTCTAGAATGTATTGAGATGACAGAAATACTAAACAGAAATTTTTCTAAAGAAATCTAGCTAGACAGAAGACAATCAAAATCACTTCTTACATTGGTCCATGTCTTAAAATCCATCTGTCAGCACGGTCTTCCCTCAAGCACTGCATATACCATGCAGTTTCAATTTTTGTTGAAAAAAAATAGAACAAATAATTCTTAAAATGATGTGTGAATACTTGATCAGAGGAGAACAGACAAAAGCCCTTTAGGCCTTTTTGACTTATGAACCCTAAGCAATCAGATCTATAGTTGTAGCTTTTCAGATATGGGTTCTATTACTCATGGAAATATCTTACATTTGTACTATCAGGTCACATTTGCAGGAGACAGGTTTGAGTTCACAGGGCAAAAGGAGGCAATGCTATTTACTGTGCAGCTTTGCAGATAACCATGGGCTGTACTCACCTGGCTGTAGTTCTGATGGTGTTATCTTTATTGTGGTTGTGCTCTTTGCTCACCTTTTCTGCAGAGGGACACACATGAGTTTTGTGATTAGCATATGTCATATGTTCTCTATCAGATTTTATTCAGCAGAACTATTTTAATGCTTTTGGCTAACAGCATAACTCAGGGTAATTTAGGGTAAATGGTTCCAGCATGATTAGAGAATGGGCACGACTTTATTTAAATTAACACCCAACAAGTTTTTTCAGCTCCACACGTGAGTGTTAGAGCCCCATGCAGAGTGTGCAATGCAAGTGTTCACTGAACACAGTGCTGGTCCCACTGCCTTTGTGTGATGCAGGAGGTTCACCTTCTTTGCCAAGGGAAGTGGGCAGTGGCAGCCCCAGGAGTGCTGCATCCTGCAGCCACTGGCCACTTAGGCCAGGAACTGCCATCTGCAGATTTCCCTCTACAGGGATCAAAGTAGTCATCACAAATTATTTAATTAGCTTTCAAATATAGAGGAGCTGAACTCTGGCTTTTCCAACTCAGTTGAAATACTGTGAGCCTGACCTGGCTGCCACAATGCTTTAAAGCATATGCAAACTATGGAGGACATTTGGCAAGGCCTCTGCGTTTCAAGTGTGAGGGTAGGAAGGTTTTAACTCCTGTTAGTTTTCAGCACCGGTGATCTCACAGTTGCATAGAACTTTGGGGTTACACACAAAAAAAAAAAAAAAAAAAAAAAAAAAAAAAAAAAAAAAAAAAAAATCTCACTTTGTTCTTTAACTCCAGCTATTGAGCAGTTGCCCTGGATTTACCTGATAGCTGGAAGAGCAGCTCAGAGGCCATCTTCACCGATATGTCCTGGCTGAAGAGATTTCTCTCTGGGAGCACACGGCCTTCGGGCGCCTTCTGGATGCGCTCGCTGATGTCTCGCCCCAGTAAAGTGCTGTAGCCAACGTTTTGGCCGGGTTGGCTGGGTGACACCGAAGCCTGTGAGTCCTGGATGTCAACTTCCATTGGCTCTTCCTTTATCTTCACCGTCTGGGCCTCCTTGAAACTCTCGGCTGCAAATATGTATTAAAAAAAAATAAAAATAAACAACCGCCGTAATTATTTAATTAGGCTGTAATTTTTCAGAGTGCTCAAAGCAGAAATCACAATTACCGAGTTGTAATTTGCGTACTGCATCCCTGCAAATGGGAAGGGAAGCAAGCAGCTGACAGCCTCAGTATTCTTCTGGCTGTTATAAATAGAAGCAAGCTCTTGAAAATAATTTTGCAGGCTAGAAAGCAGAAAACAGTTGCATATTTGCAAATATGAGAGTTACATCACTTTCTATGAATACTGCATGTGTGATGACACACTTGTTAGTGAAGTTTTGTTTCTATTTATTAAATGAAGTTGCAGCTCCACATCAGCTCTCCTAAGGTGGGCACTGAAGGCCTCTCACAAACCCCAAATTACTCTGTATCAGCAGAAGCACCAGCACCGACAGTCGGCAGTACCCGTATGGGGGATGGGGCAGAAGAGGAAACCTCATCTTCTCCTCTTCCACTCTCTTTCACGGAAAATTCCAAACAACCATGTGAAGAACCTGTTTGTTACACCTGCACAGGCTTTGTAGATGAGAGGAGTACTCTGGGGCTCATGCTTTTCTCAAGGCTGACAGATACTCCCTCATAAATTACAAGGTCCATTCATCTTAATGAACAGTTTTCTTAAGTCCATACCCTCCCCTCCTTGCCTCCCTCTCCAGCAAACAAGGTCTAGCAAACAAAACCATAGTCTAGAAGCCAATTTCTAGTTCACTTTCTACACCTGGGATTCCTTGTTGCTGAATGCTTTGGTTTGGCTGCAAGGTAAGTGATAATTTTTTATTCAGAATAAAAGCCCTGAAATCTCAAAATCAAGGCTCCAAAGTAATTTGTTTACTACACCCCAAACACCTATACAGCCCTTTTGATTCAGACTTTCTGCTGTGAAAAGAGAAGTTGAAGACTTATAGAATTTATTCTCAATTTAGTTTCAGAGAAAGAGGATGATTTTTTTTTTTCCTTAATGGTTTTCATTCAGAGCACTCCTGAAAGGGCATTGGTATCATGGCAGAACTCCCCAATGAGGTGTTGCTTCTGCTGGCTGGATGCTGACCAGAAATTCCAAAGACAGCATAAAGGCAATATGCGTGGAGAACCAAGAACATAAATACATGCATGAACAGAATTAAATACCAGAAGGGACACCCAGGTAAGGAATCATTTCAACAAAATTTGTTTGCTCTGTTTTTCCTATCCTCTCTAAGTCACGTGTGAGTACATCAGCTTCACAGGTTTTATTCCAAGTGTGAAAGATTCAGGCTGTTCATTTTCAATTACCCAATATTACAACGGATCTCAGAGGCACCAAAACATGATTTGGTTATCCCCAAAAGTGTTTCCAACTTCCTCAGCTCGTTGGTGTCATGCTGTTGCCTCAGCAAAGGATGGACAGAATCCTTTGATCAAGAAGGCATAAGCATTCTACCTAAAATTAAACTGGTATGTATCACCAAGTTCTTTTTCATTACCTTGGTTTTTGCCTCTCTCCACATTCCTGGAGTAGAGAAAAAGTGGCTTTACTTCCTACAGCTCTTAAAAAAAAATAATAAATTGAAGCCAGGACATAAAAGCCACTTGGATATACTCCAGGAACAATTTACATGAAGTGCTTTCAATCTTTTCTTATGACATTTCTTGACCTTTAAAAGATACATATAAACATTGATAAAAATCTTTACCATCTACTAACCACAGATACATCTCAGACTCCAGAAATTTTTATAGTGAGTTCTCAGTTGACGACTGGTTAGAAATATCATAAAGCCTTTTTTTTGTCCTGTTAAGATTTTTCTCTTTTTTAAAAATTTTGCTTAAAGCTTCCATTACTCTCTTAAATCACAGAACCTTGCATCTCTGTTTAAGCATAAAAATAGCATGCTGGACATTGAAAGTGAACACAGAGCAGCAAAGGAATGCATCAGGTAACAGTGCCAATCAAAAGCTCAGGTAACTCCACAAACAAATGAGTTCTTCAGATGTCTGACAGACTGAGCTCTGCATCCAGCTGCCAAATTTAGGTGCAGAGTCAAGCTGACCTTTGCTGCCCTCTCTGCTTTTAAAATATTATTTCTATTTCTGTTGCTGCTCCACACAGTTTAATTCCCTGTCCTGCGAATGCTTTTGTATCAGACCAACTGATAGGACCCCAACTAAGGCAAGAGTCAAGCAATGCCAGTGACCTTCTCTCCCTCACCATCAGCGAGCACTGCAATTGCCCTAACTAAATCTACATATTTGATCATTTCCTTTGACCTTTATCTTCCCAGCTGCACTCTTTTGATCTGACAGAATGTCCCTGCCAAATATGAATTCTGTCATACTCTAAATCCCCAAAGCAAACACACAAAGACAAGACTGAAGGAGGGCTTCTGATAATTTTACAAGAGCTAATGAAAGGGAAACACAGTCAGTCTGTCCCACAAGCAGCAATCACAGGCATAAAACCGTGCTGTGCTAGATCTTGTGCTGGCAAAGATACTGTAATTAAGGTTATGCCCATACCTGTCTCACCATATAGGCAGTCAAACTCCAGCTTCTTGAGGATTATTTTCCCTTCTGTGCTGTTCATTGTGGAGTACAGTGATAGCCCTCATTTCTTTACATAGGTATCTCACATGGTTATAGTGCAGCTAAAGTTCTTCAAGTCAAATACAGGTACAAAAAAGGTTTCCTGCCTTAAATAACGAAATCATTTTATCTTTGACTTTTATAGCAGACCTAGTAGACAAGCTGGTTAAATAATCAGCAATGGATCAGAATATGAAGTTAGTATATCAGAGTCAGGTTTTTTCCAACAGGTCAGATTTCTACAATAGAACAGCAAAATCTGTGGGCTAAAAAGACTCAAATAGCTCAGAAGTATCCAGACCATGATCTCCAAAACAGAGTCTGCTATTCATCCAAGGCTAACCTGGGTGAGGCTCAGAATAACAGCACAGCAGTGCTGAGACACTTCATAGGGCAAAAGATGAACTAAATCACCCGACAGGTCTTTTTCTGCTATTAACTTTGTGATACAGAAACACCTTAACAAAATAAGAGAAAACTATTTTATACAGGGATGTACTTTATCAAGCCACAGAGATGCTGTTTCTTTACAGAGGAGAGTAACTTTTAATCATCTTATCTACAAAAGCCTTAATGAATGTCGTCCTAGGCACACTGAGACAATTTTCCACATCAGATATGAAAAACAGAGTACTGGACAGGCTTGTTCCAGGAGGAAGCAATATCTTCCACAGTTCTCAGGTTCTCTGGCATTCACAACTGCAAGGAATCACAAAGTAGTGATATCTGCTAAAAAAAACTCTTCAAACCTAGAACAGCAGAAATGTAGAACAATACTTGTGCTACCTAAAAGCCCAGGGCACAACATTTATCCCTGAAGGTCTGAGAGTGTCACCTCTATAAGGTGTAGCAGTAAGAGCACTTCTGAAATTCTCAGACACCATCACTCTACAGCCTAGAACAGAGGCCAGCAAGTTCTAGAAAGACTTTATTCAATCTCTCTGAGAGTTGGGACTATCACAATCCAGCTCCAATTGAGCACAAGTCAGCAAAGTGCCCTTGTAACTCCCAAGGCCAACCCTATTTTGGGCCCTATTATCAGATCTGCAGCCATCAGGCAGAGGGAGGAGATTCTTACCCTCTGTTCTGCACTTATGAGGCTGCATTTAGGGTATTGTGGCCTATCTGGGGCTCCCACAGCACAGGACAGACACTGACATCTCCAGAACACGTTCAGTGCAAGGCAACCAAGGTTGTCAGAGGGCTGCTGCAAGACACAAGAGGAGAATAGCTGTGAGAACTGGGTTGTTCAGCCTCAAGAAAACACTAAGGGGACACTTTATTGCTGTCAACAGCTCTCTAAGGAATAAAGGGAAGGTGTAGAGAAGCTAAAGTCAGACAGTGCACAGTGATCATTTGAGTCAACAGACAAGCTGGAACATGGGGAATTCTGTTTACGCATACAGGAAAAAGAACTCCCATGAGGATGGGGAAATACTGACACACATTGCTGAGAGAGGTTGGGTTTTCCATCCCTGAACACATTCTAAACTTACTAAGACCCTCAGCAGCCTGCCTGGCTTGACCTGCTCTGGGCAAAGGTCTGGAATAGATGACCCTGGACCTCCATACAAAGTTATTTCATGGACCTCCAGCACTTGGCCAGCTGTAGGTTCATCTTGCAGAACTTTCAGAAGGAAGATGACACTTGTTCTAATGCAGCACTAGAAATTTCTTTTCATGTCCACTATGAACCTCCCAAACTGCAGCTGGCAGCTGTTACCCTTTCTTTTACCATCTGCTACCAGGGACAAGAATTTAACTCCACCACCTTTCCAAGTTTCCTTCAAGTAGGTGCAGGCTGCAATTAGTTTAGCCTTTAGTTCCCCTGTGCCAGACTGGGTTCAGTTCCCCCAAAGTACAAGGAAGCCATGACCTGATGGACCTGATCAGAAGGTTGGAACACTTTTCCCTGTGGAGACAGGCTGAGAGAGCTGGGATTGTTGAGCCTGGAGAAGGGCAGGCTCCAGGGATACCTTACAGCAGCCTTTCCGTCCTTAAAGCAGGCTTACAGGAGAGGTAAGGACAGACTGTTTAGCCTGTTGTGATAGGATAAGGGGCAGTGGCTTTAACCCAAAAGAGGGTAGATTCAGACTATATATAAGGGAAGAAGTTTTTACAATATGAGTGTTGAAACATGGGGAACAGGTTGCCCAGAGAGGTGGTAAATGCAACATCCCTGGAACTATTCAAGGTCAGGTAGGACAAGGCTCTGAGCAACCTGATCTTGATGAAGATGTCCCTGCTTATTGCTGAGGGGTTGGACTGGATGACCTTTAAGGTCCCTTCCATCCCAGACCATTCTGTGATTCCATGCAGCACTCACATGCTCTGAAGGGGACACTGAACGTGCCGTACCCTTCCTAATGCTTTTCCTGTTATTTGAGATAAAAGTCAAAGGT